TAGGTATCGACAGAAGATATTTGATTTTACTCAGAAGTAATATAGAGAAAGCGATCCCCATCAATTATCCAAGTTGATTCCAGCGTACGGGTGTGCATGTTGATTATGGGCAAATTACTTGTGGATAATGGGAAATATTTGCAGTTCCAACGGAATGGAACAAGAGGCAAGGTTCCAAGAAATTATATCAGCCCCAGAGAGAAACGCATTAAAATTAGCCTGAGCCTAAAGGCAGCATTTAAACATTAATCTAAGTTATAAAATTGGTATTAATGTATTTTTGTTGTACTTTAAAGGAAAGAAAAACTCCAAACCTTTAATAAGAAATTAGCATCTCATAGCTAATAACTCAAAGGTATTAAAGTGTCACAGTTGGGTGGACGTTTTTTGAGAAACCAAATAGAGGGATCAGGAGGCAGAGGTGAATGTTGTAGATTTAATGATGGAACCAAGACAAAAATCCAAAAAATATGAAATACAAGAACCAAAAGACCAGAAAAACTCACATGGGAAGCCAGAAATGAGGAAGCAACTAAACTACAACAAGGAATCAGCGCTTAGTGACTGCAGAGGTGGAGTATATAAGGAGAACAGAACAAAGCATGGGCTAATGAGGTGAATAAGGAGCAGGTGTGAGTGGAACTAACTAGAAGAAAGCCAAGGGGAAAGGAAACAAGCACAAGGGGGCAGCAGAGAGTAACTAAAGTCTGCTACATATAATGGAAAATAAACCAAAGATCAACAAAACAGAATAACTGAAAACTAAAAACTCAGAGTCCCAAACGGGGAGATCCATGACAGGGTAGGGCTTAAGATAACCTGAAATTAAAAGTCTTAAAAATTAGTAAATTGGAGGAAGTGACCTAAAATTAAACCAAAAAGAAAGAAGCAAAAATGTGTTTCAAAATTGGATGAGAGGAAGAAAAATAACTGAAAGAATAAATGAGGTGACATCCCTTTCCTGAAAAGTCTTCTTTATACGGTGAAGATGAACAACTTTATTTTAATCGTTTGAAACATCGGAAAACTCTTCCTTCCACTAAACATTGTTTGCTTTTTCCTGCCCTTTCATGTTTATTCCCTGATCTGAGCGCTCTGTCCATGCAGGATTCAGACCTGGAAGGGTACCGTATTGATACTGTAAGTCAACCAGTATCAATACGAGCAAATGAGCAATGATTGGACATAAACGACGGCTTAATTCATCGTGTCATAGACACAGTGACTAATTATGGGGGCTACAACATTAACAACTCTATCTGTACTGAACCCTTGAATCTATAAACTAGGGGTGGGATATTTCAGTTCCTGGGGGCCGGTATCCTGCAACTTTTAGATGTGCCTTCGGTTCAACACACCTGAATCAAGTAATTAGGTCAATGGGAGGACTGCAGGAACTGACTGCATACTGAGGAGGTAACTCAGCCATTTGATTCGGGTGTGTTGGACCAAGGATGGATGTAAAAGTTGCGGGATACTGGCCCCCAGGAACTGGAATTGCCCACCCCGGCCCTGCTATAAATCCATCATGTGAGCTGCAATCATTGAAGGCTTGCTGCAGGTTTGTGGCTAAAGAGCTGCATAAGAACTATGTGGACAGAAAACAAAGTGCATAAAAATGCATTTTCTGTTGCATTCAATGGCTAAAGTAGTCAATTTTTGCACACAAGGGAGGAGGTGCATTCAAGAATAAGGCTTTATTTTCTTCTTGCACAATTTATTTATTTATTTATCTTTTGAGAACTGATATGAGAAACTGTTTGAGAGGTGAACCTGTTTGCACTAAGGAGGGGGCGGCATCCAGGGCTGAAACGCCTGGAAACAGCAGGTTAATAAGGGTAAAGCAAATCGAAAATATATTTTACATTTTTCTTTTCCATAGACTTTTCAAGATGCAAAGATCATTTGGATTCATTTCCGCATCTTGCAATGATTTACCTTTTATCTCTCAGAAAATATCTAAAGGGGGAGATAACTTATACTCAGTGGGTTTCATCCAGGTGAGCTTTCGCTGCTAAAAGACGATTGTTTTAGGGTCAGTAATATCTTTTCTGTTAAAATTAGAGCCAACCTTCAATTTCTAAAGGAAAAATATTTTTTCTAAAAACTCAGCAGCAACTAAGCCTATCTATGTTGTTGCTTGTGTAACAACAGGACAGTTTCTCCTTTGTTTACTTCCTGCCATCGATGTGTTCCACAGTTGGATGGAAAGGCCTCAAGATGAGTAGATTTCGTGAATCTAGAGAGAAAAAGGTCTAAACATAATCTGACTCAGTAGTAGTAAAATGTACACAGGCTTAATAATGAGACAAATTCTTTGTTTTCACAGACGGTTGCTCCAAGAGATTAGTTTTCCCCTCTGCACAATTAGTGGGATATCATATTTGCACTAAATGGCGAATTTTAAAATCCCTTTAAATAGAATTTAACTCCGTATTCTTTTGCATTTTGCACCATTTATATTTATTTATTTTTTTGCACTGTTCTAAAACTTCCATAATAATACCTTTTGCAAAATGTCTCTGCTACACTTTACATTCCTGATCACTTTATAAAAGCAAATGTTCTTTTCAGTGCTGTAAGCCACTCATTTACTGTGCAAAAGCTGTATCGAAATTTCGTTTGGTTTACACTCTATGTATAAAAAAAGACAATAAAGTTTCTCTAAGTCTAAGTCTAACCCTACCAGAGTCTTAAGTTACCGGTAGTCTTGAGTTTTTATCCTCAAGTCTTAACATTTAAGTAAGAATCAATTTTGACGCTCAGTCAGGCGACTCTGAGGTCAAGAACCAACTCAGAAACTTTGAATTTTAGATATTTTTGGGTCTATTTTTTAACAAAGTTTAATTATATTTTAAATGCCAATAAATAATATTGTTTTTTTTTTCATTAGATCGGTTTTATCTCAACACGCCATGAAACCAGCGTCTGATTTGCTAATAAGACAAAGTTAACTAAAGTTGCGTTTTCTCATCGTAGTAAAAATTTGAAGTTTTTTGGTCTGTCTGTGAATCCCTTCGTAGATGTGTTAGAAACTGCATTTAGTTTTGTGTTGAATTAGGGGGCGGGGTTAACGCGAATAGAGTCGCCACCTACTGTATCAGAGTATGTTAACAACCTGTGGATCACAGTCTCTGTAATCGATTTGCTTCGCCTTAATGTGCAGGGTGACCAATCAGGTGTTAGATAACCNTTATTTCAACAAATATGTCAGTTTTTTTTAGAAAATCTATGTGAGAAACTTTATATTTAGTCTGTGAGAATCCATCCCTGTGTGACTTGGAACAGGGAGGAATATTCCCAACATTGTCTCTGTCCTTCCTTGCAAAGTATTTAATAAAATGCTGGCTTGAATGAGAAACAGTGGGTCTCATTCGCTTGAGTGATAAAAATTAGACATTTTCTTTCCGTCAACAGTTGGAATTTGTCAGCAGGAACTTCTAGATGTATTTTTCTGGGAGCAGCTATGACAGAACTTTCTGATCAATTTGCCTCAGATATATTTTTGGGGATTTTAAATGAATATAGAGGTAGCAGTTTCTACTGGGGTAGAAATGGGTTTTCCACTCCAAAAAAAAAAGACCCTCCATAAGGGTAACATACTATAGGGGGATGGCTGTAGGTATCGACAGAAGATATTTGATTTTACTCAGAAGTAATATAGAGAAAGCGATCCCCATCAATTATCCAAGTTGATTCCAGCGTACGGGTGTGCATGTTGATTATGGGCAAATTACTTGTGGATAATGGGAAAAATTTGCAGTTCCAACGGAATGGAACAAGAGGCAAGGTTCCAAGAAATTATATCAGCCCCAGAGAGAAATGCATTTAAATTAGCCTGAGCCTAAAGGCAGCATTTAAACATTAATCTAAGTTATAACATTGATATTAATGTATTTTTGTAGTGCTTTAAAATAAAATAAAAACTCCAAACCTTTTATAAGAAATTAGTATCTCATTGGGAGGACTGCATGACTGACTGCATACTGAGGAGGTAACTCAGCCATTTGATTCGGGTGTGTTGGACCAAGGATGGATCTAAAAGTTGCAGAATACCGGCCCATCAAAGTTAGGGGGCGGTTATCTAACACCTGATTGGTCAACCTGCACATTAAGGCGAAGCAAATCGATTACAGAGACTCGATTCGCATTAACCCCGCCCCCTAACTTTGATGGGTGAGTTTGACAGATTCTTTTAATGGTTTCGATGCACTGCGACACAGGACCATGAAATAATTAAATGCAAACTGAAATAATTATATATATTGTTTTAATAAAATGAAGACGTATTTTAATAAATTAATGACACATTTATATATTTAATTCCTTATTTATTTAATGAATTACACAATTAATTAATTGTTTATCTCTGTATTTATTTAATTGTGGCACTTTATATTAGTGACATGGTTTTAATTAATGAATGACACATTTAATTATTTATTTAATGCTGGATTTATTTATTTAATTTTGGCACTTTTTATCCTCCATAGTTTAATACCACTTCATGTCTACTTTTAACAAAGTAATAGTATTATAACACACACAAAAAAATAAAAATAGTTGGATTAGTCTGACATAGGCCCGTTAATAAACCGTGTGGGCCCTGCAGCTCCGTGGTGGAACGGCTAGTGGTGCAGTTTCTTGTTTGGATCACTGGTGCCTGGATTTCATTCTCTGATTTTAGCTGCAGCTGTAAAATATTTTGTTTTTATGCTAAACTCAGAGGCAGCCCCTTTGTCATAGTCACACACATTTTTCCCTGCAAATTGGTGCATCTTCTCACAGACTCGCTCTGTGGAGCATGACTGAAGACCTTTTCAGAAATGTCTCAGGCGGAGGCGGTTCTCTGTATTCCTCCCCTCCTCTAAATGCAGCAAAGTGTCTGATAGACATGAAGGATGGAAAATAAAAACTAAAACTAAGTATAAATTACTAAGAAGAAAAGAAAGTTATGATGGTAATATAATCTTTTTCTGTTTTGTTGCTTTTTTCCACAGCGGTGGCAGAAATCCGGGACTCACTTGGAGCACATCGTCTCTCGGTTCTGCTTGGACTCTGAGATGGCCCTGGACGGCCTGGACTCGTCCCGCATGCTGGTCATCAGCCCCTGCGAACTGAGCGCGTACACACAGAGATGGGAGGTGCCCTTTTCGTGACCATGTGATCCTTCACCTCCAAAGACCTGCTTCCATAAACCGACTCTCCACTTCAGAGAGCTTTGGCCGAGCCGTCCGACCTGCACAAACTGGAGGCGTGGGAACCATCACGGCACCGAGCTGAGGATCACCGCAGAGGAAGATGACGAAGAGTACGGGTCAAAGGGCTGAAATTTGGTGAAACAAAAACAGCTGCAGGGGAGGAAAATACAGCAACAGATGAAATGCATGGAAATATGTGGGTTGGATTAAAGAGTCTGTTTGACTCAGAGTGAAACTAAGTGCACCTTAAAATCCAGACTGTCATCGTCGGGCGAAAACATTCGATTAGGAGGGAAAAGAATCCGACTTCTGTCATGTTTACCAAATATTTCAGCAGCTTCAACAGTTCAGATGATGATAAAGTATATTCAGAATAGCTTCCTTTTATTTGCAAAGACTTTAAGTAAAAAATGGAAGGATATTAAAGCTGTTTTTAGAAAATATTTGTTTTGTTTCCACTTTAAAATGATCAGAGGATGACCTACTTCTTTCCTTCCATATTTCTTGATTTTTTTTTTTTTTTTAGCTGATCCTATGTTTTTAATTTTCAGTGTTGACAGTATATTAAATATTACAATCATTCTGCATTAATGTTAATACCCAATATTTCAGCTGTTGGCTTTCAAAGTCAAAATATTGATTCTGACTTTTTTCAAACCAAATAATAGAATTGTTTCCTGTTTTCTTTTGCCTGAATGTTTTATATAAAAAAGGTTTTCATATTGTTTTCTTCTTTTCTGCAGAATTGTTTTGTTTATCTTTTAGAAATTTGTTGTTGATTCACTCAAAAAAATAAATATTCTTATGTTTACCCACAATAATTAGCAGCTGCAGATTTTAAGGTATTTTGGTGCTGAGGAGAATGAAGAGATGTAGACAGATTTGGGCGATAATTAAGGTGTCGATCCTGTCTTCTGTTAAAAAGGTGATTTGTTTCCTACCAAAAAAAAAAAAGAAATGAAAAACAATCCACTGGGCTTTGTTTCCAAGTTGGAAGACGTTTCGCTTCCCATTCAGGAAGCTTTTTCAATTCAAAATGTCAGGAATAGTGTTGAATTCGAGGTTTTATACAGTAGCCCAACAAAATCTTGTTTTTGTTTTGAAAACATGCAAAAAGAAACGGATGAATGGGTCCACCCCTTTGGAATGGGGGTTATTTAGCTTTTTTTATTAGCCTGCAATGCCCCATACCTGTCCATGTCTCTGAAAGGGGGTCGTTAAATCCGTTTCTTTTTGCATGTTTTCAAAACAAAAACAAGATTTTGTTGGGCTACTGTATAAAACCTCGAATTCAACACTATTCCTGACATTTTGAATTGAAAAAGCTTCCTGAAAGGGAAGCGAAACGTCTTCCAACTTGGAAATAAAGTCCAGTGGATAGTTTTTAATTTTCTTTGTTTGGATTGACTATGACCTGGATGACTGAGAATCTTCACCAGCAGATCTATTCCCTAATTGAGCCTTATTTAGTCATGAGATCAGAGGACAAAGAAAATGTTTGGTGAAGAAGGTGAAGTCAAGGAACCTGACTCCGCCAGATGGATTTGCTCCGCATATCCATCTGAAAACCTTCCGTTGGAGTAATTTTGGGAAGGGGCGAAAAATACTGGTTAGCTGATTGGCCTATGTTGGTGATAGACGGGCCAAATAAACCAATCAGATCAACGAAGCATATGACGTACTAACAGAGCGACGACGAAAACACAACCACAAGCCAGGCTACTCCTGCCAAAACCAGTCGGGAGAAGAGCAAAAACGTCTTTTCCTCTGAGAAAAGCCTCCAGAGCAGTGTTTTGCTCTTCTTTCAGTAAAGAAATACTCTGTAATTCCGATAAAACTTGCTCAATAGCCACGCTAACGCTAGTTTCATCGGCTGAAGCCGCCATGTTCTTTAGACTGAACTGTCGCGCTTCTCGTTGCGTCACACCTCAACCCGCCTCAAAGCCAACGCTGATTGGACGTTCGTTTGGTGAACGGCTCCAAATGTTCTTTAACGGAGAGTCTCCAGACTGATCAGCGAGTGAAACCTTGAAAGCTCGCGAGATCAGGATGGTCTCACGAGGCTAGATCTATTCCCTAATCGAGCCTTATTTAGTCATGAGATCAGAGGACAAAGAAAATTGTCGCCATGGTTGGCGAAGAAGGTGAAGTCAAGGCGTTGCTCCTATCAACAGAAGACCTCTCCTCTCTTTGTCCCACATTTAGAAAACCTCACTGGGATCAACATTTGGCGTCAAAATGAACATATATCTGATGTTGATTCAGTGTCAAATCTAAAACTAAAAAAGGCAAAGCTGAGACAATCTGGTTTTATAAATATTCACACCCTAATACCATCCATCCATCCATCCATTTTCCGTCACGCTTATCCAAAGCGGGGTTGCGAGGGGTGCTGGTGCCTAACTCCAGCTTTCTACGAGCGAGAGGCGGGGTCCACCCTGGACAGATCGCCAGTCCATTGCAGACCCTAATACTAATACCACTTAATTATGTTCTTCTTTGGTTTGAGCCTCATTAGCGTCCAACATCTGGATGATATTTGCTAAATCTACCCTGAAACTGTTCTGCAGATTATGCTGGTTTTAAATACATTCCTTCTTCACAGACCACTCAAAGCATCGCCACATATTCTGTGTCAGATTGTGACTCCAAAACTTCCAAAACAACCATTTTTCCTCATGAATCAATATATTGTTTTCATTGAAAGGTTTGTTTTGATTTTCTGTGATGATTAAATATTGAATCCTTCTTCATCTGCAGTTTTCTCTAAGAGTCCTGAAGGTTTCGGGTTAAAACTGACTGAAATTTTAAGTTAACTGGAAATAAAAGTAACCCCAGAACATGACGCTGCCACCACCGTGTTTTACAATGCTGTGCTTTTAGAAAACTTTATTCTTTAAAAAGTGACCCGTAGAATTATAGCTAAAAGTTCAAATGTTGTATCATTTTAATAATTATAATATACATCCGCCTGTCTGTCCATCCATATGGATCTCTTGTACTCTTCTCCTGAATAATATCATAATTTTGATCCTTTTAACCTCTGAGAAACTAAAAGAAGAGTGGGATTTAATTATTTAAGTTACATAAGTTTTTTTTGCATGTACCTTTTCTTGCTTTACAGGAAAAATCTGGAAAATGTTTCTTTTTTAATTGATTTTTACGATCTGCCCCGATAAATGGCTGACAGGAGAAAACATTAAACATTCTCTATTTCTGTTCTGTAATATATAATATCAGAAGAAATGACATGAAAGCAAGACGCCAGTTTCCTCCTCCTCTGTGAGTGTCTGCCGTGCTGCATGCCAGATATGTTTCCGCTTATTTCAGCTAAACATGCTTTCATTTTTGTTCTCATGTCAAAGTTACTACATTTAAATTGTAGGATTATTTGAAATAAGGTAATTTTACTATTTTTATTCATTAAAAAAAAAAATTCTGGTTTTGTTCTGGTCTCTTTGATAGAATCCCAGATGTAATTAAAATTTTTGCAGGTCAAACATCGGTCACCAACTAAAGGGGCTAATAAGTTAATGGGAGTCAAACCTTCAACCCTCATGTTATCAGATTTGGTTCCTGTTTTCTGCTTTAGTATCTGCTGTCCTACTAAATGTTTGTCCCTCCTTCACAGCTGTAACTAAGCACATCGCAGGTTTTACATCTGCGCCTGCGTCATTTTGATATCCTCTCTGATTCCTGAATAAAGTTTTATAATGCCTGTTTTCATTTTCTTGAATTAACTGTGGCATGTCTGCAAACTAGGAACTTCAGCGCATTCTTAAGCATCATCACAAATGGAGGCAGAGCAACCTGGAAGTTAAGAGGAGAGTTTTCTTCAGAGTTAAAGGAATAGTACACCCAAAACATGATTAGCCTTCATTTTCTACTCACCCCCATGCTGAACAACACTCTGGAGTACTTTTTTGATATCTCAAATGCATCTGGAGATCTGGGAGGCTTCTTGCTGTCTGCTGACATTCAAATAATGGAGGTCTATGGCGCCCGAGGCAGAAAGGTCCATAAAAGTCCACAAAAAACGTGTCAATATTCCTCCATACTGCTCGTCCAATGTATTCCAAGTGTCCTGAGTGGGTAGCATCCAGAATTTACTCGAAACGAAGTCATTTAGAATGTTTTTAGAGCATAAACAGTAGTGTATAGGATTTCCTAAAAGCTCGTTCACGAGTCTACGGAAACCGCGGCAGACCAACCCAGACGAAAGTGCGCATTCAGCGTCTGCTCTGCCGATAATGCAAGCGTAGAAGAAGAAATGTGCTGTTTACCTGTGCAAAGAAAGAAACAACGAAAGAAAAATGTCTGAGGACTTCAGTGTTGAGGAAGAGCATGAGTTCTTTGCCGAGCTGAATGCGCACTTTCGTCTGGTTTGGTCTGCCGCGGTTTCCGTAGACTCTGACACATAGAGGTTTAATGTAACTGTAGTGTTTTCTGCTTTTGCTGCCATCATAATGTCTTTATTTATTCTTCATATTTGTGATGGTTTCCTCTTAGAGATGCTGAGTTTGATCAAGTTTTCCTGTGTAAAATAAAGCCTTTATAAGAAAGTTATTTTGATATAAATAACAATTATGAACAAATAACACATTTTTAATGTTTCTGTAGATTAAACTTGACCTTTAGTTTACAGTGTAAATGAGGAAGATGATCAGCTGCTGTACTTTAATTAGATTAATCAGATTATACATAATCTTATTACTGCTGAATGCTTTTGAATTATCCGTAGAATAAAGGTTAAAAAACCTAAAATTTGAAAAGCACTTCTTAAAAAGGCCATTTTCCTCCTAAATTAAGCTTTCAGATTAGACTCTATCCCAGTCTGTTGAAAGGAGATATGCTGAGTACAAAGTACAGCACCTTCTATCAGTGATATTCCTGATAAACATGTTTAAATACATTAACACTCCAACTACTGATTGCTCCGGTTCAAGCCGACTGAAATGACAAAGACTCCTGGATAGGTGTCTTTGTCAGGTTGCTTTCTGATTTAAGCCTGCTTTGTAATTCAGCACTTAGCTTTACTCATTAACAGCTACCCAATCATTTATACTGGAAAATTCATATATGGAATGTTAGGAAGCCTTTCGTGTAATTTTATATTATTTTTAGAGAGATTACTAAAAATAAAATAATGTAAAGGACCAGTCCTATCAAGATTTAAAAAACAAAATGTTACACCTGTGTAAATATTATCTTGATAATTGAAACCGGACTCTCTTATTGACATAATCTTCTCCATTTATCAGTTCTTGGGACCAGCACCAGGAGCACATTAAGACTGGGGACGCCTTGTGGCAGGATTGTTATGTCTGTGTCCTCTTACCCACCTATCCAACAGGGGACCACATTTTAAGGTCCCCTCTTGGTCATGCTCTAAATCCTGTTAGAAAGCATCAGGACATTTTAAAAAAAAACTTTTGCCAAGAGGGGACATGAGTGTGTGAGTAGATATTCAACAGTGCCCCAGCAGGTTGGGTCAGGAATTTTAATGCCCCATTCAGACATGTATGGAGAACCAACTCTGTCAAATTTAAAACGCTAATCCCGCTGGTCACTATTTTTCTCCTGGTTTAACCTCTCCATATCCTTCCGCTCTCGCTCTCGGAACATCAAACCGGATGCCCTCTCACAGCAGTTTGCCCCGGACGAATCTGAAGAGCCTGCTGCTCCCATCCTGCCTCCTAGCTGCTCAGTAGACGCAGTCAACTGGGAGATTGAGGATTTAGTTAAACTGTCTACGTTCATTCGTGCTCGAGTTATTAACTGGCTCCACACCTCTCAGTTTTCTGCCCATCCAGGAATAAGTCGAACTGTTTCATCATCTCCTCATTGAGGAGATGATGGTGTATGTAAGGAGACCAGGTGGTTTTTTCCACTCATCACCATCGCTGTTAATCTGTGACTCCATGCGTGCCCATCTCACAGCCGATGTGAAAAACAAGGTGAAACAAATGAACGCTGTGCTTGCTGTTATTGGGGGAGGTCTGACAAAGGAACTTCAACCGCTCGACATCGGTGTGAACCGGCCGTTCAAAGTAATGCTGCTTTCACAGCGGATGCAGCAGGTGCAGCAGAAGCAGCGAGTTTACATGCAAAGTCAATGGTTGACGCGCGTATAGGTGCAGCAAAAGGTCCCGCAGAGTGTTTTGAGCAGCAGGCACAGCGCGTCGGGAGCGTTTAAGCATCTGACGCGCATGACGCGCCGCAAACGCGCTGCTGCTGCTCGAGATGGAAAAAGTGAAGTTTTGCTGCTGGACGCACCGCATCAACCAATCAGAGAAGCTGATATGGGAGCTGACAGCGAGACAGACACATCGCTGCAGGCACCAGGATAATAAAAGCGAACTTATTCTGCCGGCAGATTTCTGCATTTTAAGTTAATTTATGCCTCAATAAACTGTTTCAGAGGAGTGATCACAGCACTCTGTGTGATCATCGATGTGTCTGTCTCACGGCCAGCTCCCAGGTTTGATTAATACTTTGTAATAAATACATGAATAAAGCACAAACATACTCAGTTTTGCTCCCGCTCTATTTTTAAATACGCAGTAGAGGTATTTAAACGTAGTAGAGGACATGTAGCGGTATATAAAAAACGCGCCCTATAGTCCGGTGCACCTTATGTGTGTGTTAAATACAGAAATGGGACAAATAACTGAGACTGCACCTTTTAGTACGGTGCGCCTTATGGTCGTGAAAATACGGTACCATTGAGCGTTTCTCCAAGGCCTGCCATCTAGTTCCACTGAGGAAACTCCCTACAGCTTTGCAAACTGCCCAACTCCTGGTCAAGCATGTTTTTCGCCTCCATGGGGAACCCACAAAACATACTGTCTGACCTCGGCCCTCTATTTATCTCTCAGGTATGGAAGAGTTTTTGTTCAGCTCTTGGGGTCAAGGTCTCACTCACTTCCGGTTACCATCCTCAATCCAATGGTCAGGTTGAACGCATGAATCAGGATTTGGAGGCCAGTCTCAGATGTCTCTGCTTCAGATCCCACAGAGATTTTTTTTTTTTTTTTTTTTTTTACAGAGTGGCGGAAACAGGCTTCCATACTCATGCCCCCTGATCTAGGTCTAAAAAAAAATTTTTTCACTTTGAAACGTTTTTACCCATCATTACCAGGGGTGGCAGTACTTGCGATGGGTGCTTTTATTTATTCTTTCTTTTCTTCTATAGGCTACTCATTTGAACTTGTTTGCGTTTGCAGCAGGATCTCTGCGATGGGGGAAGAAGTTTAACCAACAGTCAGCCTTCCTGCAGGCTGATGCTCAGTCATTTTAAGTTGAGGCGGGGTGTTTTTTACACACAGGGACAGAGTACAGTATGTACAGACGCCCCCCTGCTCCCAGGGTCCATTTCACCCGCTCATCGAATCATTAACCCGAACCTGGCTTCCTCGCCTTGGATTTTAAACACCGTAAACAACATAATATGCCGCTGGATAAAAGCTGACATTTTCTCTTTACGAGCCGCTTTTAACCGCATCCCTGATTTCCAGAGGAGACAGACGCCTTTTTACGTAAGTACAGTGACCTTTTCTTCTTTCTACCACCATTCTTTGCTCGGCTACTTTGAAAAAAAAAAATCTATCTTATTACTATTATTTTATTTTCAAAAAACGCAACGGTACCAAAATTCTCGACAGTCACAGCGCGTTTTTCTGTTTAGAGAATCGTGATATTTCCAGTCGGTTCACTGGACTGGAAGTCAAATAGTTGTTTCCAGTCGGTTCCTTTTTCAGGTAGTACCGCTAATGACGTAGTTCACTCTAGTTACGAAGCTGTATGGATCAAAGCTAGCTAAAGACTGAAATGGACTACAACTCCCACTTTTTTAGAAGTTGAGAAGCCATGATACCTTCACGGAACTTAATAACTTTGCAATCGTTGCAGCGCAGTTTATGAGTTGTATTTTTTCTTTGTTTTAACTCCATGCACAATCATCGGAATAATCGGGATTTCAGGTACGAATAAATGTATTTTGAATCGTTAAACGCTGTCTAAAAGTCATTGCGTAACATTTTTGAAACGTTGTTTGAAATAAGTCGTACTTTGCACATTTCAAGCTAGCGTTTTATTTGTCGGATTCGGAAAAGATCGACCTTTTTTATGTGTAATTGAAGGCACCACGGCTTTTCTTGCGTCATATTTTAGGGACACTTAGTGGGGACTGGTTTTGGTTTTGATTGTAAGGAAATTAACTTCGAAAATGTACTTTTTTGAAGTTGTATCTGAATGTACTTGAGGCCCAGCATAGAACATGGAACTTCCTCCCCTCAGAACAGGTATGCTAAAATCAGCTAGCTGTTTGGAGACTAACGGTTCTCGTTAAATGAGGTTCAAGCTAGCCAAACATCTGTTAGCCCGCTTTGTTTCATTCGGTTATATGCTCTTTTTTACTTGATAATTGCACTGATCCAATGTTTTATAATCATGCAAGTGAAAGTTTAACACGACTTAAAGTTATATTTTTGCTTGCATTTAGATTTTTTTTATTTAAACTAAAATAAAATACGACCAAACTAATGCATTCTTTGGTTAGTCGTCAGGGAGAAATTCCTAAATTTGTCCTGATCTGCTCTTTTCACTGATTGCGTGTCTAATATTATTAAACAATATCTATTTCCTATTATTTCACTTTGTCCAAAGTAAAAAATCCTACAATTTCCAGTGCATGAACGCACCAATCACATGCATGGGTGTTTTTAAGCATTTTCTTCGAGTTTAACAATGATACTTTGGACACACTTTTATGGAAATATTTTGTTTTCTAATACTTATCCCCAGTTATCCTAGCAGAGTTCTGGACCATCTAATTAGAGAATTGATTAAAGGGAATCATTAGCTATATAAACAAATATTTAGCACTAAATATCAGCCTTTATGAGGGTTTTTTGTTGTTGTTTTGTTTACATATAACCCTCAGTGAAAGAGTAATCAGTGTCACCAAATTGAATTTTAGATTTTATGCTGAAGGCAAAGTGTCAGCGACGTATTAAACCATGGAATAGTTTAGGTTTTAATCTATTATATCTTATAACTGAGATTTGCAGACAAAAGATCCAAAAACTTCAGTAAGAAATCAGAATAGAATAATGTGATTAATCACCTTTTAAGTTTTTTTTCCTTGTTACAAATCCACAAAAATGAATTAGGATAAATAAGATTTCAAGTAATATATTCATATATTTTTAGGTTTCTAGTGAAAAACAGAAGCATATGTAGCATAACATTCACCGCTAGTCTACAAATTTAAGGATATTAGTTTTATTTTTAGGTTCTCCTTTTCCATTAAACATGTTACTATTTTTCTTATAAACACTCTACAAATTTTCTTATTTTTTTTTTTATTTTTCACATATTAAATGTGTTTGCTGAATAAGGTTAATGAAGGCCACAGGATTCAGCAGGTAAAGGTGAAGCTGAACAATAGCTGATAACTGGAACTTATCTTATTTACTGTATTGTAGTCTTTCTTAATTTACTACTACATCCTTTGTGCCTGCCACAAAAACACACACTATGTTGTAATGTTAATATATAGTATTTAGGCTAAAATGTTAAATCTGTATCAAATCCCAGCAGTGACAGCATTTCCTTTTTGTTTACTGTGTTGTTTTGTTGTCTCAATGTGGTATTGTTAATATTTCAAGTTCTATTGGTGAAAAATTCTCACTTGGAAAGTTCTCATTTCTTCCTGTTGCCATGATGACACACACACTCACACCATTGATCAGGGCTTCTTACATACTCGTGATTAGCTGATTGATATCAGCTGTTCTGAAACCAAAACTCCTGAATATCCATCCATCTTCCGTTATGCTTATCCCAAGCGGGGTGGCGAGGGCTGCTGGTGCCCATCTCCAGCTATCTACGTGCGATAGGCAGGGTACACCCTGGACAGGTCGCCAGTCCATCGCAGGGCAACACAGAGACAAACAGGACAAACGACCATTCACGCACACACTCACACCTAAGGAGGATTTAGAGAAACCAATTTACCTAAAGGGTTGGTTATCCTCCTGCAGCAATGTGTCACAGTTAGCTTGTCGCAGGTATGAGGTCTGTGCTATGTTATTCCACGGCACGACAAAAGAGGGACAATCAGGAACTAGCTGTGGGTCTAGATATGGCCGAGTCGGTGAAGAAGTGGGGGCAAGTTTGTCCGACAATGGAGGGACATGAGGGTCAAAAAGAGCGGGAATCCAGGTGGAAAAAGGGTCCCAGCGTTCTCGCGCACCTCGCTCTTCTAGCTGGTCCATCCTCACGAGTTGTTTTCCACAATGGCGGTCATACAAACAAAACGATAAGGTACCAGACAGGAAATAGGCGTAGAGGAGATGAATATTTGATGGATCAGAGGCCTCCTGTTACCTACAATTTGGGAAAGGTGCAGCAATGTGTCTGCAGACTAAAATAAAATGGTTTCGAAGTATAAATGAGCTTTAACCGTCATGTTTTTGGACTGTGGGAGGAAAAGAACCCATGCATGCTCAGGGAAACCACAGGCTGGGAGTCAAACCCAGAACCTTCTTGCTGCAAGGCAGCAGTGCTACCCACTGTACCGCCGATCAACCGCTCCTAAATATCACAAAGCTGAAATACTCAGGATAACCTCTCTATACTCAAAATACTTGAATTCCACTTTTTGAAATGGGTCTCTGGTGTTTCTTTTTCTTTTTTACCCTGCTTTGTTGTGATTAGAACTGCTGTAGTATTTGCCAATTCGTCATCAGTTATTAGAAATTGGATTAAATTTGTATTTTGGGCATGTTAAGTCAACTGTTTTGACGAATTCTCTCCATAAAACAAAAGATTTAGGCCCCAACGAGAATTGAACTCGTGACCCCTGGTTTACAAGACCAGTGCTCTAACCACTGAGCTATAGGGCCTTAGCTGTCAGATCTTCAGACAGACTGCAATTTAAATGCCATCATTCGGTAGGCACGCCTCTTCATTGTCTGACTGATTCCAGTCTGGCCAGTTGAGTTTCTGCAGGACTTGTGTCTAAAAGTCTTATGCTTCAGGTTTGAAATGACTCCGTCTTTTCTCCCCTCCAGCCCTCCCATGTTTCTTCGCCGGCTGACCTACTTCAGGTCCTCCTATCATCCCAGAGGGTGTCGGGCCTTCTCCAACCAACCATCCACCCCTGCTTCTCATCTATGCCGGTCAGTCCAAAGGTTTCCACCCTGGCCTCCTCGACTGCCCCCTCCTCGCCCACCGGATCACCCAATCTTCACTGGTAGCACGTTCCACCCTTTTACCATCCCGCCCGGTCGCTTCAGCGCTGCCGGTCTGCAGTCCCTCCACACCTCTGTGGGTCTCATGATGGAGCGTCCTAACAGAGAGCCTCCCAACAAACGGAGGAAAAGTGTAGAGGAGGGGAGAAGCGGTGAAGAAAAGGATAGAGGAGGGAGGGAAACGAGGAGCAAAGCAAAGGAGAGAGAATCTAAGCAGGAACACCATCATCTGCATTTTAGAGGGGATGACAGGAAACCAGAAAATCAGTTCGTTAGAATCAGAGATAAACCGAAATCTGAACAAGAGAGAGTTTGTTGGAGGGAAAGCAGCAGGGAGAAGGCTGATGAAAGGACTAAAGGGGAGAGGAAAGGTAGCAGAGATGAAAGTCTGAATCAACACTCCAGAAACCCTCCCCCCAAATCCACGTCTCGGCAGGATCCCGTTCCAGCGCAAAGATCCAACCCCTGGTTCAAAGGCCGGTCTGCTGAGGAGCTGGGTCGCCTTCAGGGAAAGCAAACCGGTTCAGCAGAACATCAGATGGTTGGAGGTGTCGGTCCAGAGGGATGGCCAGAGCTTCCATCCCAGCCTTCCACTCAAGCTCCAAACCAGTGGCAACCAGAAAGACCAGCAGTCAGATGTAGGTTTTGTCTTTTTCTATCAGGAAAATGTGTTCTTTAGAAATGTTTCCCCATATAAATAGACTTTTTTTTTATATTAGTTTGTTGAATGGTCCTTGGGTTTTTGCAGAGAGTTGTTTCATATTTTTTCATGACAATCAGGAGAACCGACGAGCTAAACGGGGAGTATAACCAGCACTTAAGAGGCCGCACACTTGTTTGGGAACTTATATTTGATTTAGTCTTGATACCAAGTTGCTCTTGTATGACAAAGAAAAAATGTTTTTTTATCAGAAATTCTGCTTCAGTTCCTGCTTGTATTTAAAGACTTTGTCTCATACATCACCTGGTAAATGAAATAAATTCTCCTTTTGGCTTCAGGTCTTCAGAGACAGTGGGAGACCTGCAGTACAGAGCCACGGCCACCAGGGGACAGCAGAGTGTTCGACTTCTCAGTGATGTCCTACAACATCTTGTCTCAGGAGCTGCTGCAGGATAACGCCTATCTGTACCGACACTGCGACCCTACCGTGCTGCCCTGGCAGTACCGACTGCCCAACCTGCTGGCTGAGATCCAAAAGTACAACGCGGATGTGAGTCCAGCAGTTAGACACCTAAAAGTTATGAAAGATCTAGACAAATAAAAGGAATAAATAAATTATTTAGGCCCCAACGAGATTCGAACTCGTGACCCCTGGTTTACAAGACCAGTGCTCTAACCACTGAGCTATAGGGCCTCACCTGTCCACAGCAGTGTAACACCTGTATTATAAATATGGACAC